AACAATCATAATTCTGCTTGTCTAGAATTATAGATATTAATGAGTACAACATGGTCCCTCGCAAAAAAAAGAGTACAACATGGAGGTCGGGCGAAATTTAAACTTAGTCGCGGGAGATATTTGGTGGCCGGTCTCGATAGAATGTCCAAGGTCGTATCTAACCTAGGTCTAAAGCTAGGTCTTCGTCTTCGGCGTATTCAACGTTGAAGGAGAAGTTGCGCTCACCCACCCACATTTAGTCTGGATGGCCGAAGATTTAGAACATCTACAATCGCACCTAGAGTTTCTTCAAATGTCTGATGATTATCGTTGCTATTGACATTGTTCTTGCTATTTTTTTTGAAGTGCCTAAATTATTTTGTTAGCATTTTTTGACATGAAGTTACTTTTTAGGATTTGGCATAAATGAGGGGTCTCACCCCGTGTTTTAGGACGAGAGATTGGTTGTTTGTATTTTCTCGTAGATTCATTTTCTCAAAACAATTTATCTCTTGAATCATGCGTGCAAATCATGAATAGTTTACACTATTGCATTTCTCGCGTCGAGATCTTTAAAACTAGATCATGTTGATAGGTTTCGACAAACCTATTTTAGTCAAATATGTTCTTCCAACTAGCAGTAACTGTGCTTTTAGTGTGAACTAAATTGTGCCCTCAACTAGGACTAACTTGTGCTTCCACAAGATGAAACACAACTTTATTCCCGTGAGAAAGCACACCTGTGCTCCTCGTGGGAGTGCTCCCATGGGGTGAAGCACAACTGTGTTGCCATGTAAAGTAAATTGTGCCCCCAATGCAAAGTAAACTGTGATTTGTGAGGAAAGACACCTATGCTCCCGTGCGAAGCACACCTATGCTCGTATGTGAAGCATACTTGTGCTCCCATGGAATGAAGCACAACGGTGTTTCGAGCAGAAGCACATTTCTATTTCACACAGAAGCACAACATGTCGACGCTTCTGACAGACAAAAACCAAAAAAATGGAAAACAAAAAAGAAAAGAAAAACAAAACCATGAAGGCAGAGAAAAAACAAAAAAAAAACACCCCTGATGGGGAAGCGTTTAGCATGCAACATGTGGCGGGATTGGACACACCACCTAAAGCCGCTGGAGTGCTTCCGTGCAGAGAGTGACCCCGCAGGTGCACCCTAATTTTTTAAAAAGTGGTACCATTATTTTCACAATAATAGAACTTTATTCATCAAATATGAAATGATCATACGAGCATAGATGAAAAAGGGAACCCGATTAATTGCTCCCAGGGTATGATGATTGCCATCGCTAAGTGACCATCGAACGGGAGCACTAATTAGGGGCACCCCTGGAAGGCTCCCGCATCAGAAGTTTTGGTGGACTGCGAGCACGCCAAGTGGTGTGCCCAATCGCCAAAGTGTCGCACTCCGGGCGCACCTGCGGGAGCATATTGTTTTCATGAATTTTTGGTTTTTGAATTTTGCCTCATTTTTTTTTTGCCTTTTTCATGTTTTTTTTACATGTGCTTTTTTGTGTGTGTACAATGCAATTTTGGTAGTCGTTTTCTATTTCAGTTGGAAAATGCAGTTGGATGTTTGGGGCACTATAAGTGATCAAGGGGTGGTAACTCATATTACAGGGGCAAACTTTGCACGGAGTTCCATTACGATTAATGGGTGGCTTCGCCAAAGTCCGATTCATTGTAGGAACTACCCTCGCGTGAATTTTTTAAAGCATGGTCATGCTTCACATGAAGCGCATTTGCGATTTTGTGCCTCCCATAAATGAAGCACGGATGTGCTCCCGTGTGAAGCACATCATAAAAAGGTG